TGGTCGTTGCGACTGAAGTCTCATTACGCACCGCTACACCACTGCCAGGCATTTTTTTGACTACTGTGAAAAAATAATAGATTACATTCCTAAAACAAAGACGCAGCACTTTACGCAGTTACAGCCTTGACATGTGAGCGTCGGTGCGAGGACTCTGTTTTCCACGTTCTAATTCGACGTATAGGCGTGTGCATCTGGACGTAATAGCAATGCCTTCCCCAGACGTTGAATCTGTACCTCTGTCGCTGCCCTGCCTTTATTTAAATGGAATCACCCTCTCTAGTAAGTAACACAGTATGCACCCAGTCTTTTAGATATTGATGTATCATTTCCACATTGTAAAGGGTTGGAGACAGAAAGTAAGTTGTTTTCACACGTAACGTGGAATGTGTTAAGTTTACTTTTGTATATTAATCTGTATTTGAATTTGGCTCAGTCGCATGAATCTTTAATAAAAAACGGCTGGCCAGCTGCTCAGTCGAACGGGCAGACACCTTTTTTTTAGTTTTTAAGTTAAAGTTCTAACAAATGCATATTGTTTTTCATATTTCAAACTAATTTTAGCACATTGAATTTCTAGGTTCAGTGTCCAACACAACTATGTGTTAAAAAAGGTTAAAAGGATTCTTGAGTTTTAAAATAATAATTCATTATTTTTCATAGTTACCTGTATATTTCACAATGGTTTATAAAACTGCCAAAAGACAAACCAGTCCTTAGTAAATAAGTTTAAAAAACAGGGGGGATATCAGCTTAATATTTGGGACACTCCCATCATTTAGGACACCTGTGATGTATCAGTTGGAGTTGCGGTCAGGTTGTGGGACCCTGTGTGACCAGGTGGGACCAAGGGAGCACACCAGATGTTACCTGCTGCAGTATGAGCGTATAATTTTCATGTATTGCCTTTGTTTAATAAATGATTTAATGTCTTCCCAGGTCGTCATTGTCAGAGACTTTCACTTCTTCTCACGGTGGCTGTTCTAAATGAGCCACTACAGTTGTTTATTTTCTTTGTTATGTTAGGCGCAAATTTTAACATATCCATTCATCTGGCTTCGGTAGCAAGCTAACTAGCGCTTTGCAACTTATTCAATTTCTTACTTTTTCTTATAAACTTTAAACAACCAGCCATATCGTTAATTAAAATACATTTACCTTTTGCTAATGCAGTTCAATTATTGTGACTAATCCATAGAGTATAATTTCTGAATGTTGACAATAACTAATGTTCGTGTGTATTCCCTAATGTGTCATGTGTGTATGAGTCTTACAGGTGTCAGCTGTGTTGAAGGTGTTCAAAGGTGAAGATCACACTCTATCACACATTGTTTGTTCTTCTGTATTATTATGTTGTTGTTAGAATAAAACCATTATTTGGGTGTATTTCTCTTCTGAAAACATCCTTTTTTCAGATGTTCAGCAACTACATCAAGATGAGGATAAAAGAGCAACAAGGGAAAAATGCCCCCTCGGAAATGCAACATGGGTAGAGTTAATTACAGGGTAAAGTAGCTTTCAGGCTCATTTGTGTCCATGTGCCAACACAAATGCACATTTGCAATTGTTTTACATGGACTTACGCAATGACCCAAAGCCCTTATCCCAAGTTTCTCAGTACACAGAGCTGTTTTTCCAGGGTGTCCTCAAGCGAGTGCCGTGCCAAGGTTTGTATTCACATCGGATGATGGATCGAGTGGTTTGAGGCCATTAATAGGAAAGTTTATCATGTGTTGTTATATTCACTTTTGCCACATTATGTTGAATTGAAAAACTAAACATGTTCCACAGTTTCAAGGTGCTTGTTGCTTGGACCTTGTGATGAGAGACTGCTGAAGACCAAGAGACGACACATGTTGGAACACCTCAACCTTCGAATAAAATGGCTGCTTCTGCCTTTCAGATTGTGTTTTACATCTGGGGAACGTTTGAGTGTAGCGGGAGGTGCGCTGGGTTTAATATCGATCCACACATAGGTGCTTACAATCATGTTTTTTTTACTTTGGCATGAACTGTTCAGTAACAGTAGTGTTCATACAACGGTGCCTGTGTGCTTTTAACTTGTATACTTTGCTGTAGGAGAAACATGATTATTAAGCAGCTCATTTGCAATAATGACTGATATCCTTTTACATACACGTTGTTCTAGGATTTTTGAAGCGTTGTGTTTCTCGTTTATTGCCCCGAGTCAGAACTAAACCCATGAGAAAGCTGCATTCAGATTCACAAGCTAAAATTGGAACGGTCTTCCTGGAATGTGAGACAGGGCTTCTTCTTTGACCAATGTTAAACTTCCAGGTTTAAAACCACTTCTGTTTCTGCTTCAAACTGAGCGATTTTATGAGAGATTTTATTTTTATCTTTTTAATTTACTGTCAATAGTTATTAATTGTAATGGCCTTGTTTGATTGTTTCTATCTTTTGTCAGTGCATTGAGTTTCCTTTTGTTTTGGACTGTGCTATACCAAATAAACTTGCCTTGCCTATTGCCAAAAAGATGTCTCGACCAGTAAGGGATTCTGCAGAGGTTAAGTGGTCCAATAGAACTTGTAAATGGACGTATATAACGTCAATATTTTGGTCCCTATAAAGCCGTCGAGAGGACGTCGGAACACCGGCCCGGTTCTGTACCACATTGCAACCCTTGCATGAACGTGGCCGCGCCGCGACGTCATTTGAACGTCCGATAACGTCAGAAGACGTTGAAAAGGCCAGTGTTTTGACATTCTGCTTGTTTAGTGGGAAACAACGGAAAACGAAACGGTCATATGAAGGCATATTTTGGACATATAAGAGTTGATAGGAACGTCCGGACCGACCGGTTCTGTACCACATTGGCAAACCTTGATTGAAACGTCCAGATGCCGTTGAAATTACGTTGTTTTGACATCTGCTTGCTTAGTGGGAACGACTGAAAACGGAAAACGTCCTATAACGTCAATATTTTGGGATAATGAGACGTTGATTAGGGACGTCAGACCCGACCGGTTCCGTACCACCTTAAACCTTGAATTACGTGCCTCAAAGTAACATAGTTTGGTGGTTGATGTGGACGTCGGGCAGGAAACGCGTCGAGAAAAGTTATTCACACCCACCTGGACCTATATTCGACGTTCAAAATTCCGTTGATTTCAGTCGGCTTGCTTAGTGGGAAGTCCATGTTGAGGAAAAGCAATGCTTTGAGTCACAAAAGAAAGTGAAAGTGTGTCCCTTGTGCTGTTTGCTGCTGGAGAAGCTGTGCAGGACGTGGTTGAGGTTCAGCCAGGGTCCCGCAACATCATCAAAGCCAGGAAAGCGATGACTTTCTATTAGGTTGCAGAGCAGAGCAAGGCCCTTACTATAAAGAAAACTCTAAACTGCGGACCATGGTAGTTAAGGCATAGTATCGGAATCTATACCATCAAATATTGTATCACATGGCACAAAAAGCCAACGAAATGCGGTAGCATTTTGTCTATATGATGGGGCCACGTGATACACAATCAGCCACAATCTGTATTCTGTATCATAATTGTTACTGTTAATGAGCCCATGGTATCGATGAGCATGATATAGTCTACATCAGGCATGTCAAAGTCAACATACTCAGAGGGCCAAAACAAACAAATTGCTGACGAGCGTGAGGGCCGGGACTGTTCATTGTTTATTAAACTCATTGCCGTCCGCCTATTTCCGAACAGGTACTCCCATATTGCCAGCCGTTTCTGATGCTTTTTATAGATTTTCAGGACCCACAGAATATTGTGTACTATGGACTATCTGAAATCCGAAACCAGATTCTGAAAGAATAGACTGTTACTTTCATCAGCAAAAAAGAATTTTGTTTCTAGCTTGTATATCCCAGTTGAGTTAGAGGAAGAGTTAAAAAGATTTACTGCAATCACCAAAAGTGAGAAAAAAGAGGCACAAAAAAGTGCATCTAGCTGTTTTCAAACCTTGCCCAGAGAGCGCTGCTGCACCTGCTGGCTCCGATTCAATATGCTCTCAAGCTTATCCCCAAACCATATTAGATATAATAGACATTGGGAACATGTCAATAGCGGGGGAAACCGCAATTGACGTAATAGTGCGTCAATGGCGCCAACGGGCCATGTAAATTCATTTGCGGCCGGATTTGGCACGCGGGGCCTTGACCTTTGACACATGTGGTCTTACATGAAGTCAGTGTTCATTTTATAACTTTGCTCTGGTAATGATTATTATTATTCCTTAGATGTGTAGCTTCTTGGGACCAAAAACAATATTGGTCTTCATGGGTTGGTGTCTGTAAAATCTTTGTAGTTTTTTTTTTTTTTTTTTTCAGAATTTCCAAGCTCTGTTGTTGGAGGTGAGAAAGCTTGTCTCATGAGCACCGTCACCAAAGATGTTGACCAACCACCCACCATACATGCGGATGCACCGATCCTGCGAAGTGACGGGCCAAGGTGCACTTAAAAACGTCACTTTCCACACCTTGCAGACCTTCACAGTAAGTTTTTTTTAATTGTCATTTTGGTGATACCAAGGGTTTCTGCGGGGCATAAAACTTTTCTGTCATTACAGGACAACTACGCACCAAATCAACTTTTTTGAAGCTTAAAAACTGCATACATATGTTTCTTATAGCGCTCTTACATGTACCTGGTAAATTTTTATGGGACATTTTAGGCCCAAATAGATAAACATTCACTTTTAGCCTCACAACGTCTGTGTAGCGCCTCTTCAACTTAATGGCTACCCTAACAATTGCCAAACGTGCTCGGTCCCTCCCCCATCATCAATCTATATACCTACTCCTCCACCATCATCATTTTAACACCCCTTCTCCCCCTCCACTCCCTCCCCCTACTCTCTAACTCTAATTCCACTCCTTAATCCAAAACACCCCCCTCAAAACTAAACACCCCAAACATACACACCACATAACAAAAAAACACTCCCCCTCCCTAAACACTCTCACACACAAACCAACAAACCAAACCACCCCCCCAAACTTAAAAAAACCAAAATCCCCCCCCCCATCATACCCCCCAATTACCCAAAATAACATCCACAACCAAACCAACCCCAACACCCATTATCAAACACAACTTACCCCCCAACAAACACCCCCAACCCCCACCCCACACCCCCCCCATACCCACCAACCCACACCCACTATCAACCCCCCCCCACCCCCCCACCCCACATACACCCCCCCCCCAAATCCCCCCCCTACAAAACATTCTAAAAAAACCCAAAATTTCTCTAATTTATTCAACCTCATTACCTATTTATCAAACAACTCACAAACCATATCCCAACTACCCCACCCCCTAACAACCCACACAAACCCCCCAACTCCAACCTACACAAAACCCCCCCCCTTCCAACCCATTCCCATACATTTTCCACCATCCCATTCCCCCCTCCACATACACCCCCCAAACCCCCCCCCCCCCACCCCATCAACAACTCACCCAACACTCCAATATATTACACCAAACCATAATAATATATCAAACCCAAAAAACACAATACCTATTACCCACAAACCAACAAACCCTTATCCCACCCCCTTTCCCTCCTCATACCCCCCAACACCATAATTTCTCCCTTCCCCCCCCAATACCCCCTCCCATTACATTCCACTTTATCACATCATTTTCAAAACATAATCCTACCCCCCACCACACTACCCCACCCATCCCTTATTTTACCCTCCCCCCCCCAATTCACCACCATCCCCCCTCTTACTTCCTTCACTCTTCCCCTCTTCCCCAACCCCTCACATCCCTTACCAAATACATCTATAATTAATACAACCCTAAAATCAATCCACATCCCCTTCTTTCTTCATCTTATTTTCACTATTTTCCTTTATCATATTTTTTCCTTTCTTCAAAATCCTTAATCAATATTTTTAAATGATTATAACAGAACCCCCTTAATCATAATAACAACCCATATACCGGCCTGCCACTAAGACTCCTTCTGTTCTCTCCATTCCCCATCCACATATATAATCTAGCTCAGCCACGGTGCATCGTCCCAAATTTTTGTCATTGAATATATTAAGTTTAGTACTAGCACTATTGCCTGTGTAAGTATAGTTTAACTCATTGCCCCTCCGAATTTTGCACTGTTAACAATGTACCCCCCCTACTTACCTAACCACCCTCTGATATGTTTTTTTATCTGATATTAAAAGAAACTAAAGTTAGGGCTTTTGTAGATGCCCAATAGTCTGTGTTAATTGCATCCACCATGTTTGCTATAATATATATTATATTTATATATCTATAATACCTGTTTCAACAATTAATCATATATTTAATCATACATTGTACCATATATTAAACATATAAAGGGGGGGGGTGGGGGAATTTTTTTGGTCCACCCTCTAGTTTACTTGCTGTGAATTTTTGAAGTTCTTCGTTCAATGAATGGGGGCTGCGCCGCACCGGCTGGCGCATCCCGATGCGTTTTACCACATTTTCTTGATGGGCGGCGACCTCGCGGCCAATTCGGATTGTTCCAGTTAGAGCACATTTTTTGGCCCATTAGTTAGAACGGCGGCGATAGGCGTGACTCTGTCCGTTAATATATAACAGTCTATGGAAAAAAACACTCTGCGCCGGATGACTTCAAAAATTCAAGCAAGTAAATAGGTGGACCAAAAAAAATTCACCCACCTCAGCATTGACACACATGGTGGAACGGAGCTTTGGGCCCAAGAGCCTATTTTGGTCCATCCAGTAAAGAAGGCGTTTTTGAAGAGGTCTTGCCATGGAATATGTTAGTATTGGCTCATTTTCTCTCCTCTTCGTCTTCAGCTGTTTTTGTTAGATGCATTAGTTTAGCCGTTGTTGCCATCTTGTTTTTTACACGCTACCTCTTATTTAGGATAAAAGATTGGCATTTTTTGTTTCATTTCCTTTTGGTGGACTAGTTTTGTAGAGTTCTGTTAGTTCTGGCACAACCTGGGGCGGACGCCACTCCCACCTGTTATACGTTTTTGTTTAGCTTTTTAAACAAGGAATATTGCCAAACCCATGAGTGACTCCGGCTGAGTTTATACTGAGACGGCAGCGCAAACATTTCCAGGCTTCTAATTTGCAGAAACGGGACCAGGCTCCTACGCAAAATTTCTCAGCGTTTCAGACAAGGTTGAAAAACTATTGTAGTTCTAGGCGCCACTCCCGCGCCAGTAGTGGTAAGAAAACCCCCTCCCGAGCAGTATTACCCACTTCCTGTGCCAGACCTCGGAGCGCACCAACATCTTCTGTATTTGTAACAGCAAGTTGTGGAAAATGGAAACTGAAGCGAAAAACTTTGCGAGGTCTCGTTTGGATGAACGAAGGGAGTAGAATTATCATCTCTGCAACACGAGCTCGAAAGCCCCACAGCTCGTTTGTGTACCCGCCGCCATTTGTTGTTTGTTTTCCGCTATGTGCATGTCCAAATTTACGTGCGGGGAGCTGCGGGGAGTGGGGTCGTTCAGGCAGGGAAATTCACACCTTTTCCCTCACGCTGGTGTGAAAGAGAAACCCCCGCTGGCAGACGTTATCTTGAGTGTTCCACTCTGCAGACTAGGATCTGAATTCTTACGTTTTCCACTCCCCTGGAACCCAGTCTTCGTATGATCGGTTAGTAGCCACAGGACATCCAACTATAGTTTTTTACTGCACTTGTCTCTGTGTAGCTGCTCCTCTGTTTCAATTATTTGTTTCATCTTTATCCTGGTCATACCGCCAAAATTGGGGGCTCGTCCAGGATAATTTGAAAACAATCATTTTCTCCTTGGGTCTAGTGTATTAGAGAGGGTGCAAATCAATGGTGTTGTTTTACAAGATTTCATTGAGACTTCCCACTTTTCAGCCATCTTCAGGTTCAGTAGAAAACTCACCTTGGTGTAGAGCAACAACAGGCGATGCCTTCTCATCACCGCAGGGGATGGCCGGTGTTTGCTGGTCACTCCGTGTGCTGTTAGAGTTCAGCATATTCCACATAGCGACCCTTGAGCGCCGCTTCGACGGCTGTGTGCAAGACGTAGTTTGCGTCACTCAGCTTCTTGTATACAAACATAAGACAGAGAATGTAGGGGACACTGATGAGCATGGTAATCGGTAAAGAGAAGTAGAGCCGTGTCACAGGTAGAAGCTGTTCGACAATAGCCTTCTTGTCAAATGGTGCATTCCATTACGGTCAGCAGAAGCCAAGACACGGGCTGGGGAAGCAAGCTCAGTTATTAAAACCGATCCCAAAGTGTAGTGACATGTCTATGGAGTTTTTGACAGTCTTTTGAGGTTTAAATGAGGTGCTCTTTTCGAACCTTCAAAGGACCTGGGCGGCACGGTGGGCTGAGTGGAATAGCACTCTCGCTCTCAAGCAAAGAAGGTCCTGGGTTCGAATCCGGTCGGACAGGGCCTTTCTGAATGGAGTTTGCCATGTTCTCCACGGTGTCTGCGTAGGTTTCCTTCCCGGTACTCGGTTTCCCTTTACCACTAAAAAATATGTACAATAGGCTATGGCATGCGCCTTCCTATACTGGCCGACCCCGCTCCCCATCTCTGTGTGGAGCTGAGAGACAAATGCCCCAAAAATAACAATTGTAAACCGCTCCTTTGAGACTCTGATGTGCAGAGAAAAAGACTGGATATAAAATAAAGATTACTTACTTACCTCAGACTTCCTGGCCAAAGACTAGCTGGGCGGGGCTGAACCTCACCATCCAGCAACAGCTTCTCCAGCAGCAAACAGAAAGGGGCACACTTTCACTTTCTTTGTGACTCAAAGCAGTGCTTCATCATCTGGACTTCCCACTAAGCAAGCCGACGTTGAATCAAACGTAATGTGAACGTCGAATAGAGTGTCACCTGGTGCGGTGCTAGAATGAACGTTTTTCTCGACGTCGTTTCCCGACCGTCACCTCAACCCTCCCAAATGTTCGGTTGATGGCACGTCAATGCAAGGTTTGAATGTGGTACGGAAATCCGGTCGGGTATGAGTCCTATCAACGTCTCTTATGACCAAAATCTTGACGTTTATATGACGTTCGTTTTCAGTCGTTCCCATAAGCAAGCCGATGTCAAAACAACGTAATTTTCCACGTCATCTGGTCGTTCATCAAGGTTGCTATGTGGTACAGAACCCTGGTCGGGTCCGACGTCTATCCAACGGCTTCATATGACCAAAATATTGCCTTCATATGCCGTTCGTTTTGTTGTTCACTAAGCAAGGCAGATGTCAAAACACTGTCATTTCAACGTATGCTGGAGTTATCTGGCCGTTCAAATGACGTCGCGCCACGGTACTTCCAAGGTTGCAAAGTGGTACAGAACAGGTCGGGTCCGTCGTCCTCTCGACGTCTTATATGACCAAATATTGACGTTTATATGACGGGTCCATTTACAGTTCTATTGACCCTACTTAACCTCTGCAGAATCACTTATGGTGAGACATCCTTTTAGCAATAGGCAAGGCAAGTTTATTTGTATGCACAGTCAAAAAACAAAAGGGAAAATCAAAGCACTGGAACATAAGATAGAAACCATCAAACAGGCATTCAATTTAAATAATTGACAGTAAATTAAAAAGATAAAAATTCAAATTCTCATAAAAATTTCTCAGTTGAGCAGATAACAGAAGTGTTTTAAACCGGATTTTAACCTGTCAAGAAGCAGCCTGGTCTCACATTTTCTGCGAAGACCAGTTCCAGATTTTAGCTTGTGAATACTGACATGCAGCTTTATCATGATTAGTTTGACTCTGCGGCAATAAACGATAAACACAGCATTCAAAAATCCTTAGAACAATGTAGTAGAAGGATATCAGCAATATTGCAAATGGAGCTGCATTAAAAAATCATGTTTTCTCATACATCAAAGTACACGTTAAAGCACACAGGGCACAGTGTTATGAACACTACTGTACTGAACAGTTATGCCAACAGTAAAAAAAACCTGATTGTAGAACCTATGTTTGGATCAGTATTAAAACAGGCACACGCTACACTCTAGGTTTCCCACATGTAAAAACACCAATCTGAAAGGCAGATGAATGCAATTTATTGAATGTTGAGGTGTTCCAACATGTGCTCTCTTTGGTCTTCTGTCTTTCATCACAAGGTCCAAGCACAGCACCCTGAAAATGTGGACATGTTTAGTTTCAACCATATGTGGAAAGTGATTATTAACAAAAAAACATAAACTTTCTATTAATGCCTCAAACCATCGATCCATCACCATGTTGATACAACCTTGGCACTGCACTCGCTTGAGACACTGGAGGGGGTGAACGACATCGGTCTGAGAAACTTGGGATAAGGCTTTGGTCATTGAGTAATCCATGTAAAAAACAATTGCAAAGTGCATGGTTTTGCACATGGACACAATTGAGCCATGAAAGTACTTACCCTGTCTTATATACACCATGTTGCATTTCCGAGGGGGCATTTCCCCTTGTTG